GCTTCCTCCAAACCTTTTCAAGCTCTATCTTTGCCAATAATTAGAAATAAGAACATACGGCTGATACCAAGCTTTTGAAGTATCTGGAATATGACTAACGGCTCCATACCCACTTTGTGCAAGGCGATGCAATCTACGACTGCAATCCTATTTTCGTTAACACCTTATTCCACATTGTTTTTAGATAATGAACACGAAACAATATGACATGGCGCAAAATTGAAAGAAGTTATTAAAATAATATACGAGTTCCAAATTCAAAATAATTAAAAAGTTGAAAAAAGAAAAGTGTTTATGAAACAGTATTTATGGCCAGACTAGTTATATATAAACCTAACATTTTATTTTTTTCTGGATCCATACCAAGTCTGATAAAGTCATTCAAAAGATGTCATGGCTAGCATTTACGACCATAAATGATGAGTAAGAAATAAAACGAACCACTCCGATTTAATTATGTAATGGTAACAATATTGTACAGTAAAAGTATTTATGAAATTAAAAAATAACATCGCATTTCGTTAAAACTAAGTATCGGAGCAGAAGATTTATGATGGCCCACTCTGTACGAAATAATAATTTGTAATATACTTTAAAAAATAAAATAAAATAATTGTATTATTTATTATTTCGCACAGAGTGGGCTATCATAAATCGTTTGCTCCCTTTTTTAAGGTAAGATTACTTAGTTTAGTTTGGTAAACACCGATAACTCGACATTTTACGTTCTAAAGAAATGCGTCTAAAGCCATCAAAATTTATGATTTTACCCGCCTGCCTTCCTTTACCCGCTTTAATGACGAACGCAATCACCGCGGCGCAATGGTCGCACATCTATAGTTCACAGGGCTGGGTCACTCGAGAGAATTTTGTACGATGCGTAGTATATGCAATACATTTAGATAAAATAGTAATATTTGGAGGCCTCCCAAATACAAACATACACCAAAAGCTACGGTTTCCTAGAAAAGCGGTGCCGTTATCTAACGGCCGTAATGTAACGTTGGGTGATGTCACTCATACGTTGTCTATAAATAACATCGGAGTAGGTTTTCTAGAGAACGTTCAGTGTCACCGTAACGTCAAATAGCGGTGCTGTCATTTGCATGACGGCCGTCATAGCGGTGATAAACAGTAGTTCAACGTTTTTCGCGTGTAGCGGTGCACATATTTAATTAATACAATCACTTGGACGAGCGAAAATGATGAACCTTAAATATACATTTTGTATCCATTGTAAGTGTAAACATTATGCGGGTATATCATAAACTCTTTTGCTTGATTTATAATTTGATACATTTTAGTCTATAGTTATTTTGGGCTGGCGATCTGAGTGAGTTGTTGCCCCACATATCTTTATGGTGCCTCTGGCGGTATTGTTGTGTACCGGGTTGTGCAGCTCCCTCAAAAATGGTTGAGCTGCATGAGCTATTCGGGGCATGCTAGCCGTCTGCTGGCGCAGGCTTGCTCAGATCGATCTGGTTCTTTCTTCCAAAGACCAGTCCAGTAAATTACTCTGCATTTGTTTACACCAACTTATTAATTTATTATTGTATTATCTGGACTATAAAAGAGACTAAGACCCCCGAGTTTGTTTCGACATTTCTTCTCAGGGCAGTCAGTTAGGAAATGTCGACTTCATCTAGTTTAGGAAGACATTGTAAAAGTGATTTATATAGTCCTACTTGCAAGAATAAACTATTTCATTTCATTTCATTTCATTTCATTTCGAACAATTAATTGATTTTGTTAAAAATCATGAAGCTTTGTACAATATCAAATCCAAAGACTACAGACAAGCTCAGATAAAGCAAAATTTGTGGAATGAAATTGGAATAACACTTCAAAAATACGGTCGCACTACTTTCAGGAAACCACAGCTTGGCCACCGTAAAGACGGCCGTTATTAACAACCGAAAAATGACGGCCGTTAGTTAACGCCACCGCTTTTCTAGGAAACCGTAGCTTTATCGTAATGTTTTGTAATTGTCAGAGCCCAACCAGGACATTCTATTGTCTATAGCATTTATTAAACTAAGAAAATTCAAAACCAATAAATGGAAAATAATCGTATCTTCACCGCAGTATTAGGTATTGGATAGACTATTAGGTTATGATTTCTGTCAATTGTCATGTATGTAAATGTCATGTTATTATAGTGAAAACTTTCACGTAAAATAATGAAACGTGGCATTGTAGATTGGGGCCATCTATACTAATATTAAAAAAGGTATAGTTTTTTATAGCTATCATGTTTAATAAAACCATCAAATCTGTTTTGTTATAGTAACTATATACTACGCAATTTTATTTGAAATTTCATTGAATCTTTCTTTTCAATTGAATTTGAAATGCAAAAATGTCTAAGTTCAGTATTTGGTAATGGTATTTCTTTTAGGGTTGGTTATTACAATATTATTATGAGGTAACAGTGTTGAATACCACCGCACTTTTTTGACGATACTAATTATTTAGGAGACTCGGGGGACCTTCATTGGAACACCTCCAAGTGAGTTTTGCTGCGGAAACGCGTCTAAAACATTCACGTGAAAATAAAAAAGAAACGGATTTCTAAAGGAAATTTTGCACTGTAAAACTGTTTTCACTAGTCTAGCAAAATCCACATTCAAAATGGCCGTTTACGTTTATAAAATTAATAGGGATGTGAAAAATAATCGATTTCTTTCAAAGAGTAAATCGATTTTTGTATTCGATTTTAATATTAAAAATAATTGAAAATCAATCATAGTTGATCAGTTTCAGTTGAACAGTTATTTTAAAAATAAATATTAATATACTAACCTAACCTAACCGATCTAAATAATAATTGGTTTTTTTGGACAGCTCCGGCGCTACGGGAAATGCAGCTCCACCCTTGCGTACCAAAGCACAGGCATTTTATTCAAGCCACCGCAACCTCGGCTTTCTGGTCGCCGAAGGCCGCCTCAGCCGCTACAGCTTTCATAATGCCTGTGCTTTGTTACAGCGGGTGGGGGCTGCTCTTCCTCCGCGCCTCCGATTATTTATATACACTCTAGGGGTAAGGCAGACAAGACCACGTGGATAGTGGGGTGCTCTGATTCGGTTTTGTGTACTTTTTGGATATTAAAGTAAACACTTTATTCTAGTAAAAATTAAATAATATAGAAAGTTGCAAACAATGAAATACAAGTACTAATTAGGAAATACAGACGAGTAGGTATCGATAATTTCAAAATTTTCGGAACCCTATAATCTATCAACACAAAATTAGGTTAATTTCAATGTTGATTATTCTATAACTTTAAATTTCAAAAACGAGGAAATAATCGATAAATAAAAAAAACGATTATCAACAATCGATAAATTAAAAACACGATTTTTTAAGTGAACGTTACATCTTTTATAACCAATAGAAAAGTAGAAAATGGCGGATTGTTTACAAATTTCAATACATTACACAAAACTTTAAATTTTTTTTGTAAAAATATTTAGTCGCGTTTCCGTAGCAAAACTCACTTGCAGGTGTTCCAATAAAGGTCCCCCGAGACTCCTAAATAATTAGTATCGTCAAAAAAGTGCGGTGGTATTCAACACCCAACCCTGTAATTCAAATAAACGTTTGGCTCAATAATAGTTGCTATAATTAAATTAAAACCAAATTGGATAAAAATTAAAGGCCACTTTGTGGTTTTATTTACCGGTGTATCAATAATATATTGTGGTTTTCATCAGAGTAATCTTTTTTCACAAATTTTCTTGTCTCTCTTTTTTTTCACAAATTTTCATCGAGTTAAGACCCTTTAACATTGGTTTAAACTGTTAACAATTTTTTGAATACAGTATACAATACAATGATATTTGGACGTGTAGGTAAAATGTTGTAGTTTATCACTACATAGTATAAAACAAAGTTGCTTTATCTGTCCCTATGTATGCTTAAATCTTTAAAACTATGTAACGGATTTTGATGCGGTTTTTTTTATAGATAGAGTGATTGAAGAGGAAGGAATTTAAGGAAGGAAAAGAGGAATTTGTATGTATTATAACATCCATTAAATATGGATGGAGAAATACTGTTATTTTTGAGGTTTCTAATGTGATGTCGTAAATCGTAAATAATTACATTTTTTCCAATTACATTGCGAACCCTACGAGATTTATCAAAATAATGTACTAAGTATTGCACACATTGAACAGGTCTACAGAAAACTCTGCGATGGTATATAAATATTTTTTTTTTGTCATTTACTTTTTACGACAAGTAATATGGCTAATTTTCGAAACGATTTTAACCAATACAGCATTAATCCTTATCCAATTAAATACCTTAAATATATTGTTGATTTAATATAGATATATATATGGCCCTTTACAGCATATTATGATTTAAATGAATATTTTCGAGGATATTACAAATTTAGAAATTGCACTTTGAATTTAGTATCAGCATTGCATCCGTGCCAAGCGGGGCTGGTCGCTAGTATAAATATAAATTCAAATGTGTTGAGCCTTTCCTTATTATTTCAGGTTAAACGCGATAATCATAAGTTGAAAATATTTATCAACTAAGTCGTTTTATCGACGATCGATAAGTAGGCGATATCTTTAACCAACTATTCAAGTAAAAATCTATAGATTATTTTTATTTTAGAGTTTTTTATAGTTCAAAGTATAATTTAAAGTTTCCTATTCTATCCTAAATATTATTATTTTTTGTATTGTTTTCCAAATAGCAATACTTACTCGTATTATAAACATATCGAACTTATTTTATTAACATAATATGCTTTTCTTCTATAGAAATTGTTCATGTAGTGAAAAGTATAATTCAATAACCTTAGGGGATTTTTTTCGACTTGGTTGTTTTAAAATTAAAGACAAATATGGATTTTTGGATGCTCAATATATTTAATGTAATAAACAACCTTTAATAAATACAATATAAAAATAGCAATTCATATATTCCCTTTTTACGTTTGCCAAGGTCTGTATGATACTGTATGTATCTTTTTCGATATCTATACTTTTATTTTCTTATTATTAACGGGACAAGGGCAAAGGCGCACTCCTGCAGAATGCAATCTCCTCGTACGGGAATTCTCTTTACCTGGAAACATATTATTAAACAATTATTAATAAGTTTTAAAATTACTTAGATTAGTATGTATATAGAGTTTTAGTTTCCTAGCTTTTGTTTTATTACCAAATTAGTCTCGATGTCGACACGATACCAATGCTATTCTTAAAATTTTGAAAAATAAACTGAGTTATTGTTGGGGTTACTGATTTTTGTTGTTTTAAAGCTATCTGTTAACTGGGACTAATATTTAATAATTTGGTAATACTTTTTTTTAAATTCTTCTTACCTGATATTTCAAGTTGGGGCATGAGGAGGTATCTTCTACGTTTGATTGACGATTGTTGATGTCGACTTAAAATTGTATTACACGTTTGTATTATCTGCTCGATGTTCTTAGGATGTTTCGTTATATTACCAGATTTGGGTAGAGGTATGCTTGTACGGTTTGATGCAGGTCTTGTGATATTCACAGGTAATCCCTTATTACTTGGTTGACGTGCATTGTGATCAAATATGTCTAAAATACTGCTAAGCAGTGATGGTGAATTGGAGCGTTTTGGTTTTTCTGTCGTGATTGGTTTTTTCAGTTTACCGTTTTTTTCAAGGTCTAAAATATACGTGTAATACTTCTTTAATAACAATGGTGATCCTTCGGGTAAATTTAGTTTTTTAAGGTAATTGTTCAACTCGGCTATATTGATTTTACCGCCGCTTCCTGTAACGCCATGAACGTACAACTGTATGATATTCTGTATGTCCTCTTTAGTTGCCCTATTATGGTTTGCTTTTATTGCTAGAATATAAAGATTAATAAGCTTATCCACATCTCCTTTATTTGCATTTTTACTATTTCCCAATCCATTTCTAAGGTACAATTCTATAATATTTTTAATGTTCCTATAATATTTTTCAGCGGAATCGATGTTACTTCGGCTAGGATTATTTTTGGTAGGAGTTAAAGGTTCATCAGATTCATCAGTATCAGATGATGAAGATGAAGACGAACTATCTTCGCTGGAGGACGTATTTTTACCTGGTGTTTTGTTCCCGGGTTTGTGTTTATTACGGGGACTGGAAATATCCGAACTATTTGAATCTTCGGAACTACTAGATGACGAATCACTAGATTCAGAACTACTACTAGTGCTATCGTCACTAGGGGAGTTTCCTCTCTCTGGCTTACCAGATCCATGTTTTCCTGGCTTAGATTTTCCAGGTTTGCTAGGCTTGCCTGATTCATTTGAGCCTTCGGGTTCTTCAGAACTGCTTTCTTCACTTGGTGAGTTACCTTTGCCTGGCTTTCCTGATCCATGTTTTCCTGGCTTGGATTTTCCAGGTTTGCTAGGCTTGCCTGATTCATTTGAGCCTTCGGGTTCTTCAGAACTGTTTTCTTCACTTGGTGAGTTTCCTTTGCCTGGCTTTCCAGATCCATGTTTTCCCGGCTTGGATTTTCCAGGTTTGCTAGGCTTGCCTGATTCATTTGAGCCTTCGGGTTCTTCAGAACTGTTTTCTCCGCTTGGTGAGTTTCCTTTGTCTGGCTGTCCAGATCCATGTTTTCCTGGCTTGGATTTTCCAGGTTTGCTTGGCTTGCCTGATTCATTTGAGCCTTCGGGTTCTTCAGAACTGTTTTCTTCACTTGGTGAGTTACCTTTGCCTGGCTTTCCTGATCCATGTTTTCCTGGCTTGGATTTTCCAGGTTTGCTAGGCTTGCCCGATTCATTTGAGCCTTCAGGTTCTTCAGAACTGTTTTCTTCACTTGGTGAGTTTCCTTTGCCTGGCTTTCCAGATCCATGTTTTCCCGGCTTGGATTTTCCAGGTTTGCTAGGCTTGCCCGATTCATTTGAGCCTTCAGGTTCTTCAGAACTGTTTTCTTCACTTGGTGAGTTTCCTTTGCCTGGCTTTCCAGATCCATGTTTTCCCGGCTTGGATTTTCCAGGTTTGCTAGGCTTGCCTGATTCATTTGAGCCTTCGGGTTCTTCAGAACTGTTTTCTCCGCTTGGTGAGTTTCCTTTGCCTGTTTTTCCAGATACATGTTTTCCCGGCTTGGATTTTCCAGGTTTGCTAGGCTTGCCTGATTCATTTGAGCCTTCGGGTTCTTCAGAACTGTTTTCTTCACTTGGTGAGGTACCTTTGCCTGGCTTTCCTGATCCATGTTTTCCTGGCTTGGATTTTCCAGGTTTGCTAGGCTTGCCTGATTCATTTGAGCCTTCGGGTTCTTCAGAACTGTTTTTTTCACTTGGTGAGTTTCCTTTGCCTGGCTTTCCAGATCCATGTTTTCCCGGCTTGGATTTTCCAGGTTTGCTAGGCTTGCCTGATTCATTTGAACCTTCGGGTTCTTCAGAACTGTTTTCTTCACTTGGTGAGTTACCTTTGCCTGGCTTTCCTGATCCATGTTTTCCTGGCTTGGATTTTCCAGGTTTGCTAGGCTTGCCTGATTCATTTGAGCCTTCGGGTTCTTCAGAACTGTTTTCTCCGCTTGGTGAGTTTCCTTTGCCTGGCTTTCCAGATCCATGTTTTCCTGGCTTGGATTTTCCAGGTTTGCTAGGCTTGCCTGATTCATTTGAGCCTTTCGGGTTCTTCAGAACTGTTTTCTTCACTTGGTGAGTTTCCTTTGCCTGGCTTTCCTGATCCATGTTTTCCCGGCTTGGATTTTCCAGGTTTGCTAGGCTTGCCTGATTCATTTGAACCTTTGGGTTCTTCAGAACTGTTTTCTTCACTTGGTGAGTTACCTTTGCCTGGCTTTCCAGAACCAATGTTTCCCGGCTTGGATTTTCCAGGTTTGCTAGGCTTGCCTGATCCATTTGAACCTTTGGGTTCTTCAGAACTGTTTTCTTCACTTGGTGAGTTACCTTTGCCTGGTTTTCCAGATCCATGTTTTCCCGGCTTGGATTTTTCAGGTTTGCTAGGCTTGCCTGATTCATTTGAGCCTTCGGGTTCTTCAGAACTGTTTTCTTCACTTGGTGAGTTTCCTTTTCCTGGCTTTCCAGATCCATGTTTTCCCGGCTTGGATTTTCCAGGTTTGCTAGGCTTGCCTGATTCATTGGAACCTTCGGGTTCTTCAGAACTGTTTTCGTCACTTGGTGAGTTATCTTTGCCTGGCTTACCAGATCCATGTTTTCCTGGCGTGGATTTTCCAGGTTTGCTTGGCTTGCCTGATTCATTTGAGCCTTCGGGTTCTTCAGAACTGTTTCCTTCACTTGGTGGGTTTCCTTTGCCTGGCTTTCCTGATCCATGTTTTCCTGGCTTGGATTTTCCAGGTTTGCTAGGCTTGCCTGATTCATTTGAGCTTTCGGGTTCTTCAGAACTGCTTTTTACACTTGGTGAGTTTCCTTTGCTTGGCCTACCGGATCCATGTTTTCCCGGCTTGGATTTTCCAGGTTTGCTAGGCTTGCTTGATTCATTTGAGCCTTCGGGTTCTTCAGAACTGTTTTCGTCACTTGGTGAGTTATCTTTGCCTGGCTTACCAGATCCATGTTTTCCTGGCTTGGATTTTCCAGGTTTGCTAGGCTTGCCTGATTCATTTGAGCCATCAGGTTCTTCAGAACTGTTTTCGTCACTTGGTGAGTTATCTTTGCCTGGCTTACCAGATCCATGTTTTCCTGGCTTGGATTTTCCAGGTTTGCTAGGGTTGCCTGATTCATTTGAGCCTTCGGGTTCTTCAGAACTGTTTTCTTCACTTGGTGAGTTTCCTTTGGCTGGCTTTCCTGATCCATGTTTTCCTGGCTTGGATTTTCCAGGTTTGCTAGGCTTGCCTGATTCATTTGAGCTTTCGGGTTCTTCAGAACTGCTTTCTTCACTTGGTGAGTTTCCTTTGCTTGGCCTACCAGATCCATGTTTTCCCGGCTTGGATTTTCCAGGTTTGCTAAGCTTGCTTGATTCATTTGAGCCTTCGGGTTCTTCAGAACTGTTTTCTCCGCTTGGTGAGTTTCCTTTTCCTGGCTTACCAGATCCATGTTTTCCTGGCTTGGATTTTCCAGGTTTGCTAGGTTTGCCTGATTCATTTGAGCCTTCGGGTTCTTCAGAACTGTTTTCTTCACTTGGTGAGTTTCCTTTGTCTGGCTTTTCTGATCCATGTTTCCCTGGCTTCGATTTTCCAGGTTCACTAGGCTTGCCTGATTCATTTGAACCTTCGGGTTCTTCAGAACTATTTTCTTCACTTGGTGAGTTTCCTTTTCCTGGCTTACCAGATCCATCTTTGCCTGGCTTGGATTTTCCAGGCTTGCTAGGCTTTTTATTTGATAATGATTCTAACTCTTTAAGAACTTCATCTTCACATGGTTCCTCTTTTTTTTCTTTGGGGTTTTGACTATGTTTCTCCTTTTCAAATTTACGGAAGTCATCTATAACTTCTTCTTCGCATGGTTCATCATTAACTGACCTACTAGACCTATTTTGCCTACTATGAGTTTTAGAAGCAGAATTTTCTTTGTTTTTATTTTCTTGAATTCCACTATTATTCTCTTCACTGGATGGTTGACTTTCATTTTGTTCCGAGGAAGGCTCAGATTTTTTGGGCGTTTTGTGTCGTTGATGTTTTTTAGAATGTTTATCATTGCGAGTATCTTCATTAGAATCATCAGTTTGTCTATTTTTATGTCCTTTTTTATGTCTTTGTATTTTATGTTGTTTATTACCTTCACCTGATTTATTTTGGTTTCGTTTCTGTGGGGTTTCTTCTGAATCGTTTTTGCCTTTTTTATTATTTTCTTTATTTTTTGATTTTTCTTCAGGTTCATTGCTTTTCTTGCTTTCATTATTTTCTTCTGAGCCTTCTGAATTTTGTTTTTCTTTACTATTAATTTCTCCAGATTTTTTATTTTTATCCGTATTTTGAATATTTTTTTCTTTTGATTGTTTATTATGCTCTGGTTTTGATGATGTCGTAGAGTTATCCTTTGCGTTAGATTCATTTTTGCTATTAGACGGTGTTTTGTTACTTTCTGTTTTATTTGTTTGACCTTGTATTTTATCTTCAGGTTTGGTTCCGTTTATTGGTTTTTTATTTATAGCAGTACTATTATTTTTCTGTTCATTAGAAGGCTTAGTGTTATTTGATTTCGTACTATTTTTTTCTGCTATAGTGCTGTTAGGTGTATTTGATGAATTATTCTGGGATCCAGGAGTTGATTGAGGCTTTCTTTTTCTTTTCCTCCTATTGGTTGTTGCATTTGCTGTTAAAAAAACTTCAATGAAATAGAAATATAACTAATCAAAATATGAAAGTGAAATAATGGATTTTGTCGATTGCAATAAGAGCGTTAAAAAAAATTAGTACAATACCTTGCGCTGTAGCAGAAGCAGACGCTTGGGCATTTCCAGATGACTGAACTGTTTCAGAAAAAAACTTACATAAAATCTTTGTTGTATTTTGCTATACAAAATTATATAATTATATATATATAATATAACTTACCAGAGGCAACAGCTTGCGCTCCTGAAATGAGTGAAAGTATAACCATTAATTTGAATATTAACTATATACATAATAATAGTTTAAATAAACGAATCTTACCAGAAGATGCGGGTTCTATTGAGTCATCATAATAGTCTGAAATGTAATTTTTTTATATTATATGGATTTATTGTTTGAAATAAGCAATGAAAAGTTTTGTACTGTTAATACAAAAATGTACATTGGCCTAAAAAAAGTAGTTTGATGAAGGTACTATTTCACTTATCAATTTGTTTCTGGAAAATGATCGAGTGATCGAGAAATTAAGGGTGTTTAATTTACTCTGATTCGCTAAGTGGGTATAATATACTCCCAACATTACGAGGAATCTCCTTTGTCTATCGTTATTATCCAGCCTACTTTATAACTTTCATAAAAGTAAATCTGAACTTAAAGAAGAATTATAACAACTAAACTAAAAGATAACTTACAGTCATCATTGGAGTCCTTACCACCTTCAGTCGCTGAAACAAGGAAACATTTTAATCAAAGTGTAAAATTGAATACACTTTTTTTATAAATGACTCATTTTTATAAAAAGAACACTTTTTATTTACTTTTGTTAAAAAAAGTTAACATTTGTTTTAATTTTTATTTACGTATTTTAATATAATATGAAATTATCTTTATAAAAACTGATAACGTATAAATTTATTAAATAATAAAGGTTCTTATTAGTCTTATTAAATTATTCTTCATGGTAAGTTCTTTATATATTACTAGCTGATCCGGCTAACGTCGTTTTGCCATGTTTATCATTTATAATAAAAAATAGGGGTTGATCGTAGAGGGGTGAAAATTAGGGGTTGTATGAAGTATTTTTAATGCTGTATCATAAAAAAATTAAAATAAATTTTTTTATCTAAAAATAAAAAATTAAAAATTTGGGGTGGACTACCCTTAACATTAAGGGGATAAAAAATAGATGTTGTCCGATTCTCAGTTATACCCAATATGCACACAAAATTTCATGAGAATAGGTCAAGCCGTTTCGGAGGAGTTTAACCACAAACACCGCGACACGAGAATTTTATATATTAGATAATCATTTTAGAAATATATATTTTAGAGAATACTCACAATACAAAGAACCTACGAGTCTAATTGTAAATGACTGTTGGCAATTTAGACGTCGATTAATAAAGATTTTTAATCAGTTATGCTGTATTTCGTTGAAGGGTTGTGGCCGGCAATATATTTGTTGAATATTATTAGTACTCACGTTCAGACTTATTTGATGGATTTTCGCTGCCGGCGCCGTTTGCTATAAAAAAGGAATAAACATTTTAACTACCATTTAACTGATTCGGGATGTTCACATAAATCATCGTTATATATATTATATATATTTTTTTTTTTGACAATTCACACCAATTGACCTAGTCCCATGCTAAGTGGGTGAAGCTTGTGTTATGGGTACTAGGCAACGGATATACATACATATTATAGATAGATAGACATATAAATACATATTTAAACACCCAAGACCTAAGCACAACACCAAATGCTCATCACATCGATGTTTGTCTCAGCCGGGGATCGAACCCGAGACCCATGGATTCGCAGTCAGGGGTACTAACCACTAGACCAATGAGCCGTTATATGGTCTTAAGGGGGGGGGGGGGTTTTTTTTTTGGGGGGCTTTTTTTTTTTTTTTGGGGGGGGGGGGGATTAAATAAATGCGTTTTTTTACGAATTAACTGCTAATAAAGTATATAATTACCACTTGCAGAACCTCCAGCGCTCCCTGCCGCTTTTGCATTCGTTGACACTAAAAAATTGTTCCAAATGGTTATACAAATCTAATATTTAAGAAAAAAACAGCGCTCTTGACTTCCGATTCCTGTCTCTGTTACGTGATAAATTGTTTTTTCTTTTAGACTTTTTGAGTCGATGACATGCCTTTTTTTGACATTGACATGACTTGCCGAGTATGAATCAAATCTAATGCTAGCGCTAATTGCTACAATAAATATTTAATCAATTTTTCTTCTACACTTTTTGGGTCAACAAAAAATATATTTATGACGTATATATTGGTTTTACTGTCTTAAGCTCACATATCTACAGCAACCAATGAGTATATATGGCTAGTATAAAGGTGAAATTGTATGTTAGGATTTTAAAATCGAATAAAAAGTTTAAAAACTTTAATGGTCAATTAAACTAAATTATTTTAGGTAAAACAGTAAACTTACCTGCTGCAATAACTTGTACTGAAGCACTTCCCGCTCCGTTGGTAGTAGCTAAAATACATTAAAATATTGTATAAAACAGAAAAAGTATGAGGTACAATTATTATTAATTGGGAAATACTATATTTATGATACGATCGCTGCATCAACAGAATCTGCATCAAGGAATTTAAATTCATATAAACACAAATAGGTGGAGCTTTTGACATATAAGTTTTTATAATTCGAATGCATTTGCTACTCAGGTAATGGACAGTGGTCACACTTTAGATATGTGACTGCTCTTTCCAAATTTTTCAGGAATATTTCCGGTTTGAAACACTTCAAAATAATTATTCCTGCAACTTACCACTTGCTGCAGCATTTGCTTGTTCACTGGGCTCTAAAACAGAAAAATATAGAATGAGAATATAGATATTTTAATACAGTTGCTCAAAAAGTGGCGTTTTGCGGGACCTATTTCCTTTCGAGGTGGGCTTCTACCCACCCCCTCCTTTTTTTTTTTTTCTTCCTTTTCCTTTTTTTTTTCCCCCCTCCCCAAAGATATTTTATTAAAAACTGATAATCGTTACATTTTTTTATAAAAATAAATTCATTTGTTAGTTATATTCAGTAAAAAATGTACTGAAGACTTAGCTGTATGGGCATAGTTCCTTTCCCAGCCAGATGGTAAGAAAAAAAATCTCTTATATTCTTTTACGGTTGGCGCCATTTTCAATAAATCTTCTTTGCGCGTTTATTGTTTATTTATATATAATTAATATAAATGAACAATCATACGAAATTTATTAATTTTTTTATCCAACACCTAAAATAAATACCCCCCCAAACCCCCCCCCTTTCATTTAAAAACACTCCCCCCCCTATTTTTATCCCAACTTTTTTTATATTTAAAATTTTTTGTTTTTGGGGTTTTTGTTTTTTTTTTTTTTTTTTTTTTTTTTCCCTTTCTTCCCCCCCCTCCCCCCAAATTTTCCCCCCCCCCCCCCCCCCCCCCCCCCCCCCCCCCCCCCCCCCCCCCCCCCCCCCCCCCCCCCCCCCCCCCCCCCCCCCCCCCCTCCCCTTTTTCCCCCCCCCCCCCCCCCCCCCCCCCCCCCCCTTTTTTTTATTTTTTTTTTTTTCCCCTTTCTCTCTTTTTTTTTTTTTAATAAAATTTTTTTTTCCCCCCCGGCCTTTTCTTTTTCCTTTTTTTTTTTTTTTTTTTTTTTTTTTTTTTATAATTAAGGATTTATATACTGTTAAGAGAATCGTATTTAATGTGATTGACTGTTCTTATTTTTATTGTAGTAGAATCGCGCTGCAGGTTCGTACGGGTTTTTATTCGTACTGGTAAACTATACCTTCCTAATTAAAGGACTACAAATTTACCTACTGGTGAAAACAGAATAAAAAATCGCGCAGTCTTATAGATTATCGCGAAGAGACAGGCGCTGTGGGAAACAATGTCAATGGGGTCAATTCTTTCTTATTTTTAGAAATTCGTGGAATTTTAGACTTAATACAATTAAACTGTGATGTCACAGGATAAAAACAGCTGACATTAGGGACTTGAGATACATATTTTGTGACACAATTATCCCAGCCCAAAATTATATAAAAATATTACTTACCATTACTTTCAGCGAGTAATCCCACTGGTAAAACTAATAAATATATAAAAATAAATCCATGCCGTTTCCCCATCATGTTTTGGCCTGCTTTTTGGCCGATGGTATGATATTTATATTTAACGAATCAATATATAAGGTGAAAGGCAGTAAAATTCAAAAACGTCGTGATGTATTAATACATTTATTACGATAATTCGTAATCATAAACTGTATAGTGCTCGTGATGTACTTTTAATAAAATTTCGTTTATCATTTGAACTCTTGATAAACAATTAACAAAGGTGTGAAAAAGTTTTTTATGTTTTAGTTAGTATAAAAAACCTGATAGATATTCAATTTTTTCATCTGTTTTAGATGATATTTTGACCTACATCTAATTACATGTTTAGCATAATATTTATAAGTAAGCAAAAAGTCTCACTCCCTTGGACAAACACAAAAGCTGCCGCGGCTACAGAGCAGCTATATAATAAACGGCTTCCTCCAATAAAAAATAAGTCTTTCCTCCAATTTTGAATATGTCGCCTTTGGAGTAGAGAATCTTGGGCCGTGGGGTTCAAGTGCACAGAAACGTGTGGTTAAAGATTTAAGTTGGCGACTGGTAGGTGCTGGTAGGCGCGATTCGGAGAGGAAGTGCTGTATCAGCATTATGATGGCAGTGTCCACAGGGACCAAAATTTTTAAAAAATTTTTCGTGTTACTGTTTTGGGATTATTCCGGTGGTGGACGAAATCACAGGGACTATTGATAATAATTTCTTAAGGTCATACATTTAATGAAATTTTTAAGATCTGTATATTTCGTGATTTTATGAGTTACTATCATTATTATAGTTACTATGTAGCAAAACTAGAATTAAGGATATCACGATATTGAAATTGAATCATGTTCATACAGATTCGTAATAAGAATGTAGACATCTTGAGTTTATGGTCTCGGTTCGAACTCAATGACTTCAATATAGCCATTTTCAAGTTCCCTCGTTCCTGCTGTCGTATGCACCTCGTAATTTTCAACCATTCCCCAATATTCATATTGGAAATCTCCTTTATTGTCTGAATATGTTATTCAAATATGCTACTTATATGTACATGCTTAGTTTACGAAGAGTGTGCATTTTCAGGCGTAGATTGTGCGTAGTAGATTGAATAATTGATAGGACGTCCTGCATATCTGAAACAAGATTTTTGATAAAAATGACTACAGCCCGTGGAGTTTCACGTTGGTGAAAGATGCAACGGGTGCCTCAACAGCCTTTTAGGAAAGACTGGGTCTACTTGCTGGTAATAGATTAAATACATAATCTTTGTGGTCAATAGGCAAGAAGAGTTCACATTATTATGATTTTACATTTGTAACTATAAATTTGAAAAAGTAAAAAAAATCTTGTCTTCATTGCTGACCACTTTTTATTGTTTGTATACACACTACGGCAATCAATTATATTTCATTTTATTAACTGAAATCGACCTTAGAACATAAATTATTTAGGTGTTAGTTTCTTTGCAAAAGAGTTTATTTGCTCCTTCTGGAGTTATTTAGTTCGAATAAATATGTATTTGATAAATTAAAACAATACACAGTAACAAAAAAAATGTGTGCGTGTACTAGGTGTACACACGTAAGAAGTGAAACTTATATAAAACCTTTGTTGTACGCAGAGCCATAATTGGTTTGTTTTAAGTTTAGAGGTCCGAAACTATTTCTTTAAACACAGTAAATTTTGATACACTGCCTAGCATACAATTTACAAATTAATTGCTGCAAATTGCGATTAGCAAATTTCAAGTCGAAAATGTAATCCGTTGTCAAACTTCAAAGTCAAAAACATACTATATGTCATATTTTAACGCCGATAAAGAAGTTTGACTTCAAAAAGCAACATGGCGCGTAAATGTGAAGCGTAACGCAAAAATGTTACACTAAATTTTTTTCCAACCCCGATAAAGAAGTTTCACTTCAACAAACGCTACAATGAAGTATACAGTTGTTCGTACACAATTATTCGAGTAACAAAATACTTACGCGGCGGAATGTATCCATGTTCATAACTATATAACCTTTGGCAGTCAGTTCAAATGGCTTCTGGGTACGCATCATGAACAGTAACATAATTGTCTTAGTCTCTGGACTTGCATAAGGCCAATTAGACGAATAGATAGAGTTTGTTAAATTCTGACTCTGCAATAAATACTCGTAATTATTTTATTAAATGCCTTTTTCTGAAATAAGAGCTTTTGTTTTACACTAGGAACGTTAACATAAAGCTAAGTCTTCTCTTAACCCTGAGGCTGTGTTCAGACCTTGACTAAAAAGATTTTTCTTTATGTCTGCATTAAATACAGGTCTCTACGGTGAACGAAAACATGAGTATTACGGTATATACCCACAAATAAAAAATATGGCAAAATTACCAACTTAATTACAGAAATGCGTGAGCCGATGCCTCATAATAAGCTTACTGAACAGAATAGTAAGTACGAAATTAGAGTAATAAAATGCTTACATGATCGCTTATGATTTGCCCCATGAAACACTGACTGAAACATTCGACAATTAGTGACAAACACATGTAGGAATATCGAACGCGTTTATAGAAGTTACCGACAACCTAAAAGTTATAGTATATTAAAATAATTATAAGGTTATAAACATTATAAAAATATAATAAAATTACTAACTGTGGATGTGAATGCTGTAAGAGAAATGAACACTGCTCCAAGAGAATAATTTATAATCATTGTATCGCCTAAAATGGTGTCAAGCGCTCCAATTTGTCTGAAATAATGAATAAAATATAAAGTATAATAAAATCTTAATGAAATGTTTCTACTCAAACTTTAAATTTTAACAAAATTACTGCTACAAGTACTTTCAAATACTTACTTAGCCAAAATGTCATGTCTTGAAATAATCATTTTTATTTTAGTCACAGATCGTTTATATATCCCATTAATTTCTACACCCTTCTTTATATTGTCAACATCTTTTTCGCTTATTAGCTCTTCCAGACAATTTCCCAGTATCCTCAACTCCATACAAGTAAATATTATGTATGTTGCGTGTAACATATTCGTCATAACATACAGACTTACAACAACAGCTGTCATGCAGCTCTCCCATATATACGCAGGAGCGTAAAACTTAATTTTATCAAAAGGATACCAAGCTTCAAATGGATACAAATATTCCTTTATTCCCAGGAATCTCTCTTCAAACCACATTACAATGTATGGGAAAGAGTCGACAACAATTATCAAAGGAATCGAATAGTACAGAAAAAATCGATTTATGATCATGGCAAGTTTTTTGTAGTACCTTATTATCTTTCTATGCATATCGGAATTTGAAACAACGTCCCACATTTCATCTTGGAAATGTAAAAATATCTGGTTATAACGTTTTTTATGAATTTGTATTTTTGTGTATTTTATTGCGGACATTACACAAACGCCTAAATTTGGAGCGGCATTGATTATGACCAGCCATTCGGAGGTATTTGCTGACACAATAGTTATTATAAGTTGTAAAGTTGTAGATAAAACTAGAAATATGGTAAGTGCGTACCCAATCATGGCCAGCTTTGATCGTCCTATAAAAGGGTAAAGGAATACTTTAGTAGCGAGATATCTGATTAAATGTAATTCCGAAAGGACCTCATCTCTTGGTAGTAGAGGCATGTTTTTGATTCACTATTCGCTATCAAAATGACTTTATTGGATAAACTAAGTATATATATCTTTTAACAATAATTGTTTGATTGCTTTATTAAAGGGCTGATGCTCAATGAATTTAATGATTTAATTATACTTAATATTTTAAAAAATATGAATAAAATTATACTCTCAGACATTCTTGAAACGTCTATTATATACATATGGGTCTAATTTATTTCTGTAATTTGTTAGAAAAATCATAACGAATAAGGAGCAAATGACTAATGGCAACAAAATTTAAAGCATTTGTTAAATTAGTTGAATATTCATTTTATTTTTATTTACACGATAAATCAAATCAGATATGCAGAAACACATTGATATAGAACCTTCAAACTTGGGTTCATCATCATCGCAGCCTTTATAATTTCCCCATCGTATGGGATAAAGGGTGTAAAGGAGGCTAATATCGACTTTCCTAGAAAAGCGGGGTATGGCTAGTTAAGCGTGACGTCGATTTTGTCAAAATATCCAGGTATTCCTTCTTTTTTCAAGGCTAGACTATTCTCCCAGACAACGTCCCTCGCAACTCGCAATCAATCTTCGAGTCTATGGTGACTAAAATCGCACGCTTCTGTTACACACACAAATCCACACCCATTATCTCTGTAATATTATCGTTTATACTGTTTGTTTATTAAGCTGTAAGGTTTTATAAATAAATAAATTCCTACAATCTTCCTTACATAGACAAAACCGCAAGTATCGCTAGCAAAATTTACCCCATAATTAGAAACCTATATATCCATCGAACATTTAACTTTGTAATCATGCTATCAATCATATCAGTATTTGCTTTAATAATTTAATCAACAATCGTCTTTCTTTCCTTATAATAAGGGTTACAATCCTACGTACCATTGTGTTGTTAGAAATAGGTCAAGAAGCTCTTAGACAGCGATTGCTTATAATTTGCCGGCATTGTTCAGTAAATCAGAGGAGGGCGTCACTTCACAATACTTGGGCCCTTTGATGCATGACTAATATGGACATTAATCTGATGAGAGCATGTCATCCACTCAATGCTAATGTATACCGGCTTTATAACTCCCAAATTCCCTTTGTATGACTGCTCATTGGAAAATTTATTATATTGTTATAATATTAAGAGGTAGGTCTATATAAATTGGTCTGCTATGTTTGGTTTTAATATATAATTTAGTTGTATTTATTTCGTAACCCTGCTAACTACTTGATTTGGTTTTATTTTATAGCTTAATGACTTTATTGGTTTTTTGTCATGCTGATGTCGAAACTATTTCTCATCCTGCAGAAGAGGGCTATTCGTGCAATCTTAATTTAAAATGTAGGGAACCCCCTCTAGAGATAAATTCAAGGAAATTAATATACTTACCTTTCCCTCGCAATATATTTATGAAAATATTATGTATGTATACAAAAATAGTGATAAGTTTACTAGAATAGAACATACGCACAATGTTAATACACGGAACAAACGCAGGCTGCAATTTCCCCGTACTAGACTATCTAAAGTTAGTAATTCTTTTTTGGGGAAAGGGATACTCTTCTTTAATAAAATCCCAGAGGCTCTTTTATCACTGCCTTTCAATAAATTTAAGAAATGTATTAAAGAAAAGCTTGTAAAAAGGCTTACTATAAAGTCAACGATTATCTAGTTGATAAAAGGGCCTGGGACTAGTGCTAGACAGGCTACTTCTAAACAATTTGCGATATTTTTTTTTTAATAAGTGTTGTTTGATGATTTGCTGTTTTAAAAGAGTACCGAGAGTTTTTACGCCGGCTTTTTCTCTCGGCCTACACCCTCTGTCTTCTTTGCCGGGGGGGATGAGTAGGGATGCCTTCAAATTTAATGACGTGGAATAAGTGATACATGTATCTTATGTTCCATAATAAACATATTTTATTTTATTTTTTTATTTTTAACATAAATTATAGCAAAAAACAATTATACTAAAGATATAGCCAATGATGGAATACATAAATTATATAAAGGTTGCAACATTTACGAAAAAACAAAACGTTTTTGTTTTAATTCATTTGGGACAGAAAACATTTGGAATGCGAATTTATTTTAATACACATTATAGATATTTTAATAAAGTCCGAGTTCAAATCTTTCGACCACAAAAAGTAAGTGCTATAACGCATTAAAACAAAGAATATCGTGTCCACTTTGTGGCTCTACAGAGAGAAAATCGATTGGTTTTTGTCTCGAAATATAATTGAATTTGCCTCAAATATTTTGGTATTAAATTTGAATCAGAACACAAATGTTCATTGAAATTGCGAATACAGAAAGGCATTCGTCTTCAAATTGTGTTCATTCACAGAATGCGTTTCGAATCTTTATAAATGTGAACCCGTACGTTCTTGATTACACTTTAGTACCAAAATATGAAGACCTCCTCTCCTCCTCTCTACTTTAAAGGCTGGCAGTAAAATGGCGAACGCAATAAGTAATGTGGGGTCTTAATATACTGGATCTCAACGACAGCGTGTTTGAGTCTTTTGTGTGTATTATTCATTCACACATTATGGAAAGTATTTTTACATTTAACTACACATAAGGAGTTGCTATTTTATTCTGAAAGCTAAGCGTTGATTTTAAATATAAGAATCCAGGCCAAAATTTTAATAACCGATTTATACTCATAAAATACATATTTTTTAATAGAAATTAACTAAAAATAATATGAACTTAAATATTCATAAGGGAAAATCATCAACTACAGGTTTTGATCAACATTCATTGCGAATGTCGAGTTAGTGCAACTGTTAAATAATAAATTCGTAAAATTAACAGCTCTATATAAATACAAGATAAAGAAATAAGGATGTATTCAAGAATAATAACGAGAAGGTTATGAGGTAGATATGTTTCTACACAATGGGGAGATAGAGCGTTTTATTCGAACAAGGTCTCACACGTCAAATTTCACATCTTGAATAGCGTTCACCCCACGGAATCTTTATAAATAGTTGCGCAAAGGTGATGCTTAATTTGATGGAAATCTCGGAGCTGAATGCGTGCCAGGAACGGATTGTGAATAGCTCTGATTTAATTGAGAGAGATTAAACTTGGTATTCTCTTTAAATTGGACGTCAATTGTACATCTATTGTTAGTTAGCTTCCATTTGTACTGAATTTCTATTAGGATGGATTGGCTTTTGCCAGCTTAAAAGCTAAGATTTTAGTAGTTAGATATTAAGGAATAGTAATTGACTTTAAAAACTATTATTAAATAAATACTTTATACTTATAGGAATCTCGTATCGTCAGTAAGCTTCAACGTCAGAGTACCAGACTCGAAGCTAAATAACCCTTGACGAAGAAGCATCTTATTATCTATATGGGGGTACATTGTTGTAGTTACTAAGTAAAATTTATAAACAATTAATCTATACAGACTTATAGGTATAGCAAAAAAATAGTTATATGATATCGTACCCTATCTAAAAAGTGAATCTCTTTTATATAAGATTTTAAGTCATGTCGGGTTGAAAAAATGTTAATAGGGTTTTTACCATGGAGAGTGTTCAGAGGAGTTATTCGGACTAATACCTGCAGCTGATCATCATCAGTAGTCAAGGCAGAACACAAAATACCATCCGTATACCATTGACGTCCGTCGTTACACAACTAAGCGTTTCTTAAGGCAGTTTTTGCCGCGCACCACCATTATGTGGAACCAGCTGCCCACTGAAGTAATTCCAACCCAATTTGACTTAGGGTCCAACAAGAAAAGAGCCTATCAATTTTTAAAAGGCCTGCAGGCAATGTGAGTGTCTATGGGTGGCGGTATCGTGCGCATGCTCGTTTTCCTTTTGTTACATTCATATGATATTTGCTGGACATGAAAACAGTACAGGTTATATAAGCCGTGGTTCTCTGAGTACTCTTCTATAAACGCTACTAACACGCAAGGTGTAAGTTGTAACACTATTTATATAGATACAGTACATAAAACCTTTAATATCACATAAGTTTACGAACAGTTACAAACAATATGGGTGCAATTGTTCCAGGCAGAATTATTTAAAACTATAGAATTAAGTTTTAGTTGGTAACAGGCACTTACCGTCAGTAAGCTGCTTGTACGTTAAGTATGCTTCTTGTACTAATTAAAACAGACAAAATGAGGACCATTCAAGGCATTACAAAGGAGCATAATACTTTTGCAGTAAATAAAGCTGCAAATTAGATTGTTCCTCTTTGTGTTTCTACTGAAACTTTTACCTACAATTCTTATCGTCTGGAATAGTATTAATGTGTTTTGCTACCAGCTGAGTGTAATTATATTACGTGATTAGGTTTCACATAGGTATTTTTACACTTTAGTTGGTAATCAATCACAAACTATTATGTTAGGAACTTTTAAATTAAATTATTATATACAAAATAACTATACTTTTTGATATATTTTATTGTTGTATAAAACAGGGGGCAGGAGGCCTCATCTGATGTGAAGTGATACCGCCTATGGAAACTCAATGCCAGTGGGACTTGCCTTTTAAGTATTGGTACGCTCTTTTCTTGAAGGACGAGGTCGACTTGGCTCGGGAATACTTCTGTGGGCAGCTGGTACCACATAGTAGTGGTGCGCGCCTAAAATTGCCTTAAAAACGCTCAGTTTTGGACGACGGACCTCGAGTTGATACGGTCAGTAAAATACAGTGCAAAGGTAGCCCTTCCAGAAATATCATGGGATTATATTCTAAATAATAAAAATGTAAGAAATTACCATTACGAATTTTAGTAAGAAGTTTCAATCTTATCGTTCAATTTTTAAATACTTAACTCCATTTGATACTCAAAATTGATTTATTTTGAGTTAAATATCTTCTTCAAGTAACTTTTCTCTCCTCACTGGTCTCTGCACATATTCTATAATCGTAAAGGTAAATTTAAAAACACGTTCTCTCCATATAAAAGGGATAGTAACGACTTTATTAAAGTTTAAAGGTCCGCTCATAATTCATGA